TATATATATATATATATATATATGTTTGGGCAGCCATTTAAGTCATCTAAGCATGTCGATGAATATATAAGTATATACACACTCTACACAGTGCATCTGCGTATATACACGCATCTACGCATATATATATATATATAGGGGCACATGTACATACAAAACAATATAATATATATATATATATATGTCTATATATATATATATATATATATATTTGTTGTTTTGCAGGCCCGCTGAGAGCAGCAATATGTGTACTCAGCTGGAGGCGATATATCACTTAGAGGATTTCATTGGAGACGAAGCGCAAGAACTGCCGGAGTTCGTTCAGGCCGTGAAGTCATCTGGGGCTATTCCTAAACTTTTAAAGCTTAAGATGGTAGGTATAATAAGTGTAGCTTGCTGCGGGTTGTTGCTGCTTCTGCTGCTGGCTTGTACTGTGCTGTGCAATCTTGTTTATTGCTTATTATTTATCATTATTATCCATTATTATTATTGTTGTTATTTATGTTGTTTGTTCCTTATGGTTAGTTGGCTTCTGTTTGCTGTTCGCTGATCGTTGTTCGTTTTATGGTGTTTGCTGTTAGTATGGTTTTTGCCTGTCTTCTGCTGCTGTACGTGTCTGTACACTGGATTAGGCTTTGTACTTTGCTGCTGCTGTGTACTTCTGCTGCTCTGTTGTCTTCTTTGCTGTGCAGCACCAAGACCATGACGTGGCAGATGCCGCAAGTTTGCTGTTAGTTCGTCTGTCAGACTGAACAATGAACGATGCAACACCGCACCCAAACCCTAAACCCTAAACACAAAGCCATAAACCCAAAACCCCAAGCCCTAAACCCTAAACCAAGGGGCTGCAGAGCAGGGAGAGCAGCTGCCACTCTTTGTCTCTGATTCCACCCTCAGCAGCCCCCGCATGCATGCACATGCATGCATGCATCTGCATGCTGCTCCCTCTGGCATGCACGCATGCAAAGGGGAGCAGTTGGGGATCTGCATTGTTGATGGTTGCATGGACAGTCAGCTCTGGGGTTTGTGGTGGCTGCGGCAGCGGGCTGGCCCCCTAGGCGCTCCGTCCTTTTTATTTCGTCTTAACCCAAAGTTCAAACCTCCAGCTGAATTTACCTCCCCGCCGTCTACGTTGCCACTAGCCAGCTAGCCAAGCAACAAGCAGCCCAGCTAGCCAGCTAGCCGGTAAGCTACGCACCTCAGCTAGCTATGAACGGAGAGCCAGCCAGCTCCCAACATCTAGCCCATTGTAAACAGCTAAAGAATTGCTAAGCTAGATAACTAGCTAACGACTGACGGCTAGCTGTCCCAGCTAGCGAACAAGACGCTTACTACTGAGCAGCGGCCCGATGGCGCCGCTCAAAAGCAGCAGGTAACATCAACAAGGGGAAAAGAAGGCAAAACAAACAGCACAGGACAGCCAGAGACGGCCTAGTCTAGAGAGCACCACGGAGACAAGGAGAAAAACAGTGGCAGCAACACCAGCAACAGAGGCAAGCGGAGGGATGAAAGAAAAAAGTAAAGGAATAAAACAAATGCCAGACAGAGGTAAGGGGGTAACGGTTGTTGCTCTGGTTCTTGTGTTTGGACTGGGTTGCAGTGCTCCTGCTCCTGCTAATGCTGCACCAGCAGCATCAGGGGCTGCTGCTGCTGCAGCAGCAGCATCAGGGGCTGCTGCTGCAGCAGCAGCATCATCCCTTCCCCAAAACCGGAAATTCATCAATACATCAACTAAGTCCTTTTGGAT